AAACCAAAATTGAAACTGTAAGCACGAAGCTTAGTGAGCTCCCCCAAACTACCACATACCATAAAAATGCATATAAAAAATCACATAACTCTGGGATTACTCCCAACTGCATCGGGACGAATCCCGGCATCAGCTTAATCGACATTGGACTCATGTCCGGCTTCGGGCTCACCCCGACATCCGGTCGCACTGGGCATCGGGCTCACCCCAGTATCGGGCTTGCCCCGACATTGGGATTACCCCGACACATACACAACATAACATAAGCATATAACATAATCACCTATACTGCGTCAGGCCGAAGCCCGGAACATATAACATACAACATATAGAGTAGAATACAACGGGCTTTCCCCGACATTAGACTGAATCCCGGAACACCCAACACATAACAAGTAACATGCATGAATCACAAAGACATCAAGCATACATAACTATCTCTCGGGACCGCCCCGACATCGGGCAAAGGTCCGAAAACATATAAACTGCATCGTAACCGCGGTATATTATAACTACTTAAATAGGCCAACATTGGTGCCTTAGACCCATTCCTACTGAAGGAAAACTCACCTATCAAACCGACTGCTGAAAAACTCGTGCAAAGGTGACACCGTCTGCTGTTCCAACTACTCCCCAACTATAATGACCAAATAAACATTTAGTCAAAAACTGATGACTCTCCCATGGGTAAAATGACTATTTTACCCCTCTGATCTATTTTGGGCCATGACCTAGGCCTAATCCTTTATAGTCCTCACTAAGGCCCATTAAGTCCCCAAATAGCCTAATTTTCTAAATTGGGCCCAACTCTTCAAATGGGCTTTCCTACCAAGCCCACTAATCCTTAGGCCCTTAACTGACTCCTAAAGGCTCATCACAGACCATTACTACTATATCTAGGACTTGGCCCAAACCAAGGCCTAATAACAAAATTTCACTGTCTGAGCGTACGTTGGACGTACCTCTATGTACACTGCGCGTACCGACATGTACGCCCAACGTACTCTCCTGTAAAGAACTTTTCTCCAAAGAGACTTAATCTCTTAAGACCCTACGTCCAAACTACATATCTTAGTCCTATGCTTCGTCCTAACCTTAAAGTTGATCACTTGGTGGCTTGCAACCCTCCAAATGAGCCCAACACTAAGAATGACAATGAACTTTCATAAAAATGGCTAGATCTCTTGCATGGCTTCATAAAAGCCTCAAAGCTTGCAACTTTATGGCTAAAGGAACTCATTGAGCTTCAAGGGTGGCAAACCTAAGCTCAAAATCGAAGTTACAAGGTCAAGATCCAATCATTGGACCTAAAAAGGTCCAAATCTTCAAAACCCTAGATCTAGACTTTGAGGAGGAAAGATAGGAGCTTTATACCTCCTCTTGCTGCCAAATAGTGAGCTTGTTCAAGATCCTTGAGCTCAAGGTAATCAAGGGTTTCTTCTCCAACCTTTCCTTTCTTCTTCCAAGTCCTTCTTTGCCAAAATAAGCTCAAAAATGTCAAACACACACAAGGAAGAGTATGAACGAGTTAGGGTTTCTCTAAGGGTGATGGATAGGTGAGGAGGCCAAAAGGGGAGGCTATAATTATGTATTTATAGGTCCTTAACCCTAAAATTAGGGTTTAGCATTTGTCCGCGTACGATGGGCGTACCACTTGGTACGTTGTGATGGGTTTTGGCCATATGGACATTCCTATGTGCACATACAAACCCTAATGCTTGGATCTAGGTTTCTCTAATTGAACATGCATTGAATCCATGACTTTTGAACACTAGATCTAAGTAATAACATAAGAAAAACAGATCTAGAAGATTACCTTAAGTTACTTGCTTGAATCTTTTTGTCCTTGGAGCTTAGAGTCACAATTGCCACTCCTCTAATGGCTTACAAACACCAACTAGCAAGAGGATGATTATAGAGAGAGGAGAGGAGAGGAAGAAATCAGCCAGGGTTCCTTTAGAGACAAGGGTGCCGATTTTCCATGACCCCTAGGGTCTACTTATACTTGTAAGGCTCCTAGGGTTTCACCCTCAAACCCTAATTGGATAACTTAGGCTCTAAGCAATCCAATACCCCAATGATAAGCCTTGGACGATTTCAAGGTCTATCCAAAGCCCCAAAACCGTCCACCCCTTATCCATAAGGGATTATAGCCCAAAGTACAACTATCATACACTTGACAGTTTATACCCTTCTATTTAATTAATCTCCTTAAGTCACCAAATTAATTCCTAATTAATTTATGACTTATATTAATCAAATAACAATATTATTATTACTTATAATATTTCTTCTCTCATTGTAAATCATCCTATCAAGTTGTTATGGTGAAGGCAACCCAAAAGGACCATGCTCAATCGGGTCAAGTACTTACCAAATATAGTTGCAGCCTTAGACTCTATTCCAACACGTTGGGTGTACGTACCTGCGTCCCTCGAATCCAATGGCCTTTACGCCCCACGTACGCCAAGTTACGCCCGACGTACGGCTTATGGGCGACCCATCTTCACAGCCCACTTCCTAAGTCCACTCCAAATGAATCCATTGTCCAAGTAATAGTCCAAAACAATTATTAACTCAATAAATTAAATAATACCTCGAGGAAAGGGTGTTACACTAATTTATTGCAATTTATCGACAAAAGGTACTTAATTATGTTTAAATTGTATTTGCAGCCTAAAAGATGTGCTTGGAAGCAAAAGGAAGCGGGAAATGCAACTGGGAGCTCGGGAATTGAAGAAAGAAGAAAAATAGTCAAAAACCATACCTACTCAATGAGTTGGGTGCCAAATCGACGAGTAGTCACAAACATTCGCGAAGCAAATAGA